AAATGAAGAATTTGGTCTAGACTATAACCCAAATTGTATGAGCAAAACAGTCATCTCCCAACACTGATTTCCTTGGTCAGATATTTAAATAACACTATATAATCCATAATTCACTTAATGATTGATGGTCTCTTAGCCCATAAACAGTTCTAAATCTTGTAGAAGTGAAATGTAAATTTGTGGAATGTAATTAGACTAACATGACAATGGAATGCTTATTTTGTTTGTTTTGGTTTTAAGTAACCAAACAATTTGTGTTCCATTTATGTCCAGTGTCTTTTATTTAGTAAATTACTTTGATGAAATGCTTATCTAAATGATATCTAAAGATCCCTACAAGATTAAAATTCTGATTCTATGATGTGAATAATTGACATATGCTTTTACTTCTTGACTTTGAAGAGGTATTGCTGTAGTTTGAAGTTTAGACATACTGTTGTTCCTCCCAAAACACAATTCCCATCCCTAAACGTGCAACCTATCACATGTCAGGAATAACACAGTTTAGGTTAAACTACAGAATTCAAGTATAAACAGTGGTAGATTTGGTAAGAACTAACTCCGGGGACTTTGTTTAAAAAGTCAGATTATTACACATACATATTTTTTCCTTGTTCGATTTTTCAATGAGCTCTGCCACTGCAGCTCAAGGGAGATTAAGGGAGAAAACCTACATAAACACAAAGCAAAACCCTGAGCTTGTGTGTAAAGCTACCGCGCTGGAGCGAATGTGGTTTAATTCTTGGCACTGGCAGCTTGTTGGAGAATTACAATATGTTGGCATGAGTCTTTAGGTCTCATTGTTCCAGATGAGGGAGTCAGTCTTAAGAGTGTTTGGCACTGAAGGGAAAAAGGAGTGAGAGTTATAGGGAATGAACAGGCCCTAAAGAGGCAGGATGCTGTTGTAACAATGGCTGGCACAGTTGGGGGGGCCATTCACTGGTGGTGATTGCCATAGGCATTGATGTGAAGAAACATATGTGAGCAAAAGAGGCAAGGGTAAGGAAGGAAAATCAAGCAAACATATCAAAAGGGTCCTGATAGCATAAAGAGACAAAAGTAATCCAATTAGAGTCATCCTAATATTAATGGATTGACTGATTAGGATATCTGTCATCACCCTCTAATTTATCTGATAGCTTATTTCTTACCATTTTTTAAAAATTTTAAAATATGTACACATATATGTTTCCCTTAAAGGAAGAGATCCCTGAATTAAAAGGCCCTGGCTTTGTATTCCCTCTGTTCTACTCTCTGGCTAGGGGATTCTGGGAAGAACATCTTTCTGAGCCTTAGTTTTCTCATCTGCAAAATGGGTGTAATAACAATGCATACCATTGACAATCCTGTTGTGTCTGACAGCATTATATAAACTGAAATACTATGCAACTAATAAGAGGTACTATTATGTCTCACACTTATTTTAATATAGGGAGCACTAGTTTTCATTTTGACGGTAGTTGCGATACTTCAATGTTGGTCTCAGGAGAATCTGTAAAGGCACTTATAATAAAACTGTGGCACATCTTAATGTGAAAATGATGGATAATCCAGAATTTGAACTTCTGGAAAATAAGTATGTCCACAAACATACTATACCTACTCACAGTATAAAATATAATTCTACATGTATTAAAAAAAAATCTCCTTTTAGAAAATGGAATATTTAGCAGATAACTACTATCTTTTTTAATCCATAAACACTGAAGCAACACTTATATAATTGTGTCAAATTTCACTCTAATCACATTCACACATTTAATGAACAGGTGTATTATAAATATTGGGATTTTGCCATTTGGTCTTTTACAGTTTTTGTCATTTATATTCTCTAGTCATTTATATTTTCAGAGAAATTCAGTCATTGGTACCGTGCATCCACTGTGTTCATTATGACCTTTGTGAACTCATCATTAACCGTCTTCATTAGCATCCGTGGTGAAATCATTTCTTAACCACCTCTTCAGTGGAGACAGTAGCCTTTGGAAGAATACTGGATGTGGATTCCCTTCAAGCTCTTTATTTTATAGTAGTTCAAATAAAGAAGGGAAGTGGGTGAAATGATATGCTTTTGGTCCCCCCTGACCTTGGGATCCACTAGGTTGAACTTAGCTCCCTATGGGCAACTTCTCAAAATAATCTTCTGAATTAGATATTTCCCTAAGCTTTGGTTTCTTAAGTGGTAAACAAATGCACCAATACCTAATTCAGAAGATTATTATGAGAAGTTTGAGATACCACATGTAAAGGACCTGGTACACTGCTTAGCACTTAGTCCTCAAAATAGTAGCTATCATTATCATTTCATTGTTGACAAGAGAGTTTGGAATTTGTAGGCAAAACAAAACAAAACAAAACAAAACAAAAAATCTTACTTCAAAAAGTCAGCTCTGCCCATTACATTTTGTAAGACCTCAGACAAGTCCCTTTTTTTTTCTGCTTTTGTTCTTAACCTGTGTGGTGGATGTAATAACACAATCTGAATCTTCAGGTATCGGTTATGTTAAATGAGAGACTACCAACAGGAAAAAGCATCTAACACAGTTCCTGGCGCATAGGCTGCTTGATAAATGTTTCTTGAATCTGCATTTAAAATATATACCTCATCCAAGTTGCAAATATTAGTGTCTTTCTTCATCCACACACATGACATCCCCGGGTTAGATATGTTTCTGATTTTACATCTTCCAAATTATTTGGTCTTAAAGAAGATTTACTCATTTTTCTGTAGTGTCTGTTCAAAGTCAGGGACTTGAAAAAGAAAAAAAAAAAACTGGCTCTGTATAGGAGCCTTCTATCTTTATGTAAGTTAATAAAGAGGCCAGGAATGTTCTGCAGGTTTCAGAATTCTGGCGGCTGTTACTTTAACTCTGCAACTTAGACAGAAGACTTCTGTTTCTTTATGAGCACACTACAGTGAATATTTTGTCTAGCTGCAGGGGAAAAGCTTTGTCATGGACTTTGCAGACAATAGCCTTAAAAGTAAAATGGTCTGCTTTTGGTGCCGGGAGGTTCAGGGGCCCATTGTTAGTGCACAATGGATTTCTATTGCTGCATTCCTGCTTTGCAAAGGTTTGTTAGCTTTTAATGACTGACAGTACTCTATTGCAAATACCGTATTGGCTGTGCCCTGTTTACATGCTACTCAAGAATTTTTGTGGAGTGCTGGAAAAAAGAAACAGTGGTGTTTGTTTGACCTACTCTGATAAGGTTTAAAAAATGATTTCGCTCATGAAGCGTTTACTGGGAATGTAGAAACATTGGAAATCCGTGTAGAAGTGTTTTAAAGTTACTTTTAAAGCCTCAATGAACAGAAATATTGATTACAGTAAGAGATTTAAGCCGTTTTATTACTCAGAGTTGTCATTACCATTTTTAAAACCGCTATGGTACAGAAAGAGAGAGATTTTAAGAAAAAGTAACTTCTTAAGATCTGTCTTCCTTAAAATGTAAGAAATGGAGATACCTTGTAACAAAGGAAAAAAAAAATCTTACACATTCCGTAGTAAATTGCATAGTAAATGTGTACACAGTAATTGTGGTAGGGGTGTGTGTGTGTGTGTGTGTGTGTGTGTGTGTATGTCCCATATGTATAGACTGCAGACTGTGTGAAGCACTAACCACTCAGAGCCTTTCACCATTTTATTTTCCAGAAGTTTTTGACATCTGAAAAAAAAAAATTCCATATTGTCATGGTTTTTCCAAGGAAATTTCACCTCCACTTTGTTGAAAACTCCACATGGGCTTTGTGACTCTGACAGCCAATGGCTGTAAGAAGGAGGACTGAGAGAAGTAGATAGCATTAGCCAAAGATGATGATGATGCCTTAAAATGCATTTCACTGTGGGGAAAATGAACCAGTTTCTAATAATCTTATGGTCTCTAGGCCAGACGGTCCCTTTGATAAGTTAACATGTACTCCCTTTATGCTCCTGGTAGGGGGTAAACAAATGTCGGAACAAACACAAATACACATAAACACCAATGTGGAGAATGGCAGGGTATGTCTTAGATCCAGATAATAAGTGTGGGTATTGTTATTTAGATGGAGCATACTGGGACACTTATCTTTTAGTACACTCCATTTTCTCACTGAATGCAGTGCTAATCGTGGGATTGAAAGCCATTGTAATTGTGTACCCATCTAAACGCTGACAAGAATATACAATTACATTGTTTGGAATTGAGTTTAATGTTTGGGAGTTTTATTAGCATTTATGTTTACTTATACATTAAAATTCAACACAAAAGAAGAGGTCAAAAACCGTGTGATGTAGAGAAACAAATATCAGACTTTAGCATAACCTTGCTCTTTAAAATATATGTGCCTTGTCTCAGTACTGGGCATTTTAAAAGAATGTGAGACAAATCTGAAATAAGCAAATAATAGGTTTCCATTTAAGGCATTACTCACTTTTCTAGATTTTGCAATCTTTGTAAAGCTTCTTTTATACCAACTTCTTCTTCTTCTTCTTTTTTTTTTTTTTTAGTGTTCACGGTACTGGCAAATCTTTCCACAGTGTGCTTACCACCATACGATGTTAAACACATATTATAAAGTGGATGTAATTGTAAACACACAGAGGGATATAATTACATGTAGCAGATTTAAGAGCTAATTCTTTGCCTTTTTTTTTTGCTCTGCATTTTATCAACATAATTATTTTTTGACTGCACACTAACACCCTGAAATTGACAAGCATCTATTATAGCAGGAATTTGTTCACCAAATTGAAAAACAATGAACTGCAGGTTTATATGTACCCATTGTCATAAAGAATTAGTACGGCTTTGTTCCGCAAGAGGAAAAAGCTAATGATTTTGAAACAGCAGGTGACAAAACACATTTTTTTCCCCCCTGTTATCAGTTTGTTGATGAAGTCATTATGAACTGGGGCCCGGATAGGGATGGCCTTATTTTTAGCAGATAGACTTTTAATGAGCTGCATTATAAAGATAGTCATGTTGATTTGCTTACATTTTTTTTTTCCTTTACTTAGAAACCCCCAGTATTGAAAAGCTACTCTCAAAGGACTGGAAAGACAAACTTCTTGCAATGGGATCAGGGAACTTTGGTGAAATAAAAGGTAATGTATCTGAAATTATTTTGATGTGAAATGTACAAAAATGAAGTTTATGTTTTGAAATATAACAGTGATACAGTGCTCCCCTGCCCCGCATCTCCCTCCTGCTCCATGCATTCTCTGTCTTTGGTGTTTCTTTTTTCTAGCTTGAAAGTGGATCTATCAGAGTGCTTGTTTTCTCTTTGTTTATGCCTTATTAGATAAATGGAATGTCAGTTTAATAGAATCATCCTCATTGTATCCTCAAAAGGCTTTGGTTTTCATCATTTAAAAAAATTTTTTTAAATGATTTACCTTGTAAGTAAGAATGTATTTCTATCAGGGTTAAAAACTGCCCATTATGAGATGATTTTATGCATTCTACATATTAGAAGTGTGGAGGTACATAATCTACCTTTAAAACTAGAAATGATGAATGGAGAAAGCTTCATAAAAGATTGTTTTTTACTAACGAGAGCAACATTTTTGGTTTTGTTTTATTTGAATCCGACACTTCATACAACTAAGAGGAAAAGTCTATGTAGACTTTGTCATACTGAATATTCATATCTTAATAAACTTTTACTAATTACAGTGAGAGAGGGTTTAATTTCTCATATAAAAAATAGAGATAAATGGTCATTTCAGTTCATTTTAGTGTGTTTTCTCAAAGTGTAGTAGGCAGGCTATGGTTTTCTATTTGTTGCCAATAGCATGCTTGATTCTGAGTTCTAAAGGATTGATTTTGAGAAAAAAATACTTATTCATCAATATTAAAATATTTAGTTATATATTACTCTATATTTTTTGGTAGAAGCTGAATATATTTAAAATATCACCAGATTTATATTAATATACATGTAGAAATATGTGTATAAATAACTTTTTTGCATATGTATGTATGGGCACGTGTTCTCCCGATGAAAAAGGCGATTGTCTTTCTTACGGCTCTACTGCTCTGGAGCTTCCTGGCGAAAGGCAGGACACTAGCATCCCAGCATTTGGAAACTTACAGAAAATGCTGGACTGAGCCTTTCACTTTTCATCCATTCTGTTTGAAGTTTATATATATTCAGGTTATGATGAAGTTTGCTTTGGTGGTGAGAGAATGAATGGTGCTAATGAGCACATTCAGTAACCAAAATCTATAATGGAATCAAATTCAAACAGATAATACTTTATATGCCTTAAAGAGCTTGAAGACCAAGTTTAAACAGAACAGAGAAATTTCTCTTCCGAGGCAGTAGATCCTTTACATTATTATGTTGGATTTTTAACCCATTTGCACCCAGGATACAGGATGTGTTCTCTCCAAGGTTCTTTATTCTCCTCTGACCTAGGTGATAACTGAGAGTAGAGCAGAGAAGACCGCGTGTTCCAAGCCTTGTGATCTCGTTCCATTGGAGGACAAACATTTTTCCCTCCCTCGTTTTCTTCACAAGTCAGACTTAAAAGCAGCCCCAGCAGTGATGATAAGCTTGGAGGAAAGCAGCTCCGCTCTCCTTTCAGGCTTGCCTGTGGGGTTAGTTCAGGAAGCTGCAGTACGGTCAAAAGAAGTCCCGTCTTTAATTTTGAGTTTTTTAAGCTTTACGTTCAGAGCATAAGATTGGTTATTGTCCTCTGGTTCTGTTCAGAAGGCTGTTTTCTGATGCATTTAAAAAGCAACTGTGGATCTTTCTTCTGTTGGGGGCATGGTTATTAGGTGCTTGGATGGGTTTGGCAGAAAACTGGGAAAACAGCGCTGGCTTACTTTTCCTACTGACTGCCCGTGACAGTAGCAATTACTCTCCATTGTTCATAGGTGGCGAGAAAGTGGAAAGGATACAATAGTGTGTAGCCCTCTGGGGGTAAATGAATTTGACTTAATGGTTCTTGGGGGGTCAGACACTATGATTATGCCATGCCCAGGAATGTGGTTTTCATGCCACCTCAGAAGTTATGTGAGAACAATGGTTTAGCTGTTTTGCAACCTTTTTTTTTTTTTCAAATATGAAGCGAATAAAGATGTAAGTCTCCTGTATGTGCTCCCTGTTTTGAGATAGGGAAAGATAAGTGTGAGTTTTTTTTTAATCTGGAAATATGAACTTATTCAACTATTGGATGATTAATGATAATTGAGAATAATATATTTAATAGACTCTTTGCATATGTTAGGACATGTACAGCCTTTACAGTATTTACCAGGTCTTGTCAATTGAAACTTTTCTCCTCTGTTTATCCTGGTCAGTTTTCATTTAATTTTTAATTAGTTCCAGAAAATGTGTGAGTGAATGACTGTGTGTGTGTGTGTGTGTGTGTGCGCGCGCGCGCGCGCATGTGCACGAGCAGGAGCACATCCATTCTTGAATATCTAAACCTGTAGACAAGTGAGGGCAGAGCACAGTTCCCAAGCACTAGCTTCAAGTTGTTGCATGTGAGTAACTTTCAGGGCATTTGGACAACGGTTAATATTATAGTTTGGCAAAGTTCAAAGAAGGGTTTCTTGCTATTACTGTTTAAAAAGTTAAATCGATAAACTTTTAAAAATAGGAGAGATAAATAGCATTTGGTTTGGATATTTTAGCTCTCCATAAATAGTTGTCATACCCACTTAAAGTCAATCTCATTTTTCAAGAAACAATGTGGGTTAGTAAAGGTCATCCACTTCTGAGAGCATAAAATTATTTTTCATGTAGATTATTTCACCTGTTAGAATTTATGCCATTTTATGGTCTGGTACTTTGGAAATGTGAAGTAATTAGGTTTTAAAGTTACATTTGAGACAACCCTCTAAAAAACATCCAAAAAAGACACCAGATCCAGTTTTGCAAAATGAAACCATTTGGCTAAAAAGCTTAGTCAGCCATCAATACATGTGTATCCACTGATGAGCTGCCTAAAGAAATTATTTCTTTCTTCTTCACCAGTCAGCTATCTTGTGCTACTGGTCCGCTTACAGAATGTTTTCTTGTTACCTATAGCAGAAGCACTAAGGGTTGTGTGAGAGGTGAAGAAATACCTCTTAGAGCCTCATAGCTCCTGAGAAGGGGACAAAACCATCCCTGCCCCCCCGTTGGCAACCGGGACTGTCACACGTTGTTTTTAGTTCGCATGAAGTTCCATTACACTGAAGGTCATTGCCTTGGCACCTCACCTGAGCACAATATCTGGGGACCCATGGCAGCTTTGACTCATCTAAACAGATCATTTGCCTTTTAATAAAGTCTTTGCAGAGTTAGTATTTTATGGACTTAAATTTTTTTTTTTTTTTTTGTAGAATTGTGACCCAAAAATCTGCATGCAGAATTCTCTCAAATAATTCTATCTTGGTGAAGTTAGAAAAGCTTTCCTCTCTAGGTCCCTCAGGTGAGGCCAGATCAGTTTCCCCACCTGCCTTATGTAAAGAATTCTTCAGAGCCTGGTTTCTTTCCCACTGGTATCCCTGGAAGACCCTTTCTCACCATGCTCAGAAGGCATTAATTTAGTCCGGGAAAGTGTTTTATCCGGTATTCAGAAAAATGCTAGCTGCAGTTGGTATAATAAAAAATTTGCTTTTTAAAAAGCTATAATTTTGTTCTTTCTAGAAGATGGAACATAAAGGCAAACATCCGACTGCTCTAGAATGCCAGTAACAGATTCGAGGAAATAACCTATTCAGTGACACTTTGGCCTCTTAGAACTCAGGATAAATACATGCTTTTAGATTCAACATGTGGGTTAAAGTAGATCCTCTGGTAGGTGACTTAACATTTTGAGATAAAAGAGATATATGGATTCAGTATGTGGCTTGAAAGAGATAATCCTGTCCAAATAACATTAGAGAATTTGTAAACAATCAGGCTTGGAATAAGAATCAGTTCCCAGGTAACAAATCTAGTAGGGGATCATTAGAATTTTTAAATTTGAAACATGGAAACTAAAATCCCAGTTTAAGTATGTAAGGGTTTGTAACACTTTGAAAGCTGTTTTAAATCCTTTCTTTTAAAATCAAGAAAACTAAGAATCACAGGTTTTGCTAATAATAACTTTTTGACTTATTTCATTTGCACCTTAACCTAAAAAATATTTCTGTACATTTTTGTAAAGGAGTTGGAAATGTTGATTACTTTTTGAGGGAACTGTTGCATCTGAAATTTGTTCATTGCAAGAGTTAGCTGTGAGGAAGGTTCGTAACATACGGTCATTTACTTCTAAATAAAGTGAATGCTTAATGTTTTTAATCTACTAAGCTTGTTTTATAGTTCCTCTGTGGTTGCTTATGAGTAATGTGTTCACTTAAAAAACAAAACAAAACAAACAACCTACTTTGTGAGAACCGGAGAAAGACTACCAGTCCACAGCATATAAGGTTTTAAAGTAAGTTTGGCAAGGTCTGTAAAAGCAAAAAAGTGACTTTCTCTTTTCTGCCCATCAGCGACTTACTCTGTTCCAGAATGCCAGAGGCTTTATGCCAGTGTATAAACATAGTAAGTGATGGAAAGAGAATGGTCAGACACGGGATCTCATTGATTTCTGTATTGATGATCTAGTCCACGAATTAAGAAGTTTTATATACCTTTCAAAGAAGGTACTTAATGATGCATGTTTTATTTTTTATTTTTAAATTTTTAAAAGATTTATTTATTTTATTATAGAGAAAGAGAGAGCAAATAGGGAAAGGGGCAAAGAGAGAGATTCTTCAAGCAGATTCCCCACTGAGCAAAGCTCAATGAAGGGCTCATTGCATGACCGGTGAGATCATGACCTGAGTCAAAACCAAGAGTCAGATGCTTAACAAACTGAGCCATGCAGGAGCCCCAATAATGCATGTTTTAAACAGATGCTCTTACATATTAAATCTGATTCTGTATGTGAAAATGAAAATACGCCTTCCTGAACATTTTTTTCTCGTTTAAAAATACATTCATTCATTTAATAAGTATTCATTTGTGCAAGGGATGTGAAGATTCTAAAATTGAAATAATTTTAAAACCATAATTTTTTTCTTGTAGATATGGACTCCAAAACTTATACTATGCAAATTATTAGATGATGGAATTAACCTG